CCCAAACAGATGGAGCCTATTTTATGTACGTTCGTCGCCCACCAACCCTTCCAGTCACGGACTGGGGCGTTCGGCCGGCCCCATGTACGTTCGTGGCTTTGCCCGTCGCGTGCCAGGGAGATCAACGTGTTTGACAACAAATTCTCGGACACCCCAGAGGTGGTCAAGGCAACGGCCATGGCGGCCGTCATCAACGGGACATGACCCCGTGCACGGGGTCTCATGTTTTGCTGCAGAAGGATCGGCGAAGTGCGGACTTGAGATTTTGGACGCCTGTATGTTTTGTAGAGGTTTGTGTCATGTTCCGGAACCCAGAAACGAGGATTCTCGTGACCGGTGATTTGTTTCTGCTTTTGGAATCAATGTTTTTGGCACTTTGAACTGCTTGATAATTGGGCGACTTCCTGCCAGGGGTTGAGAGCAAAGATGTTTAAGAGCCTTTGCAGGTGTTACAGGGGCATCGTGTTCTCATTGCGCTGAGTGATTCTTTGACAGCAAACAGTAAAGGATTCTCCAGTTTAGCCGCCACTATTGGTTCTGAGATGACTCAAGTGCTCCTCAAGAGTGGACGATAGTGGACGCCAACCGCCTGGATATCCCTGGAGAATAGTCCCACGTTTTAAGATTGTCCCAACCTCTGACATTGCAACTACCAATGGGGGAACCTACATCGTTCACTCAAACAGAGATCCTCCCCAAGTTGGCAGTCCCCTTTTCACAAGGGCTTCTCAAAGCCCGAGACAGCCTTGCACAGGCCTTGCGCGAGCTCTTCGCGAACAACACCACCTTGGCCGTTTATGACTTAGGAGGCGCCTCCTGGGACAAACTGGGAGCAAGAGGCCTCAGGGTTGTTGCGTGATGCTCTACTCTGAGGGCAGCAAATGGGAAGATCTCGCCATGTACTCAGTAGAGTCTGCCCCAATGAGTACCGCCGTTGAAATACTGCGACGCCGCTATAATCTCAGACGCTCCGACATACAGAATCAGATTTTGCACTGGTATTGGGTTTATGAATGTATATACATGTATATACTGTATATATACACATGTCTTCTTTGGATGCTGGCCCGATCCAGGCAATCATATCAGCGATGAGGGAGCCATGAAATTGATTCATGGCCTCATCGGCCAGCCTCATGTGGAGAAGGCACCTACGCGAAAAGGAGGACATCAGGACCACAGACAAACAAAAGAGAGGACAAGAGAGTTATGGGGGGAGAGGTAATGGGAAGATAATAGACGCGTCGAGCACACTGTGTGCATCCAATTTGTCCCGAAATGCAGACTTTGGAATCTGGAGTGTGTAATAATCTGCCTGCTAGATCCTGCTCACACTTTAACGGGCCGTTTTGGTCAGTCTCATGCTATTGCCCAACATCAAGGTCATTCATTACCACTGGCCCCACTGGCATATCACGGGGGCAGCCTCATGGATGAATGGTCAAGCTTTGGTCGTGGTCTAGAGGAAAACGATCTGATGCGAACTTGGTCTCCGGTGTTTTCGGAAAAGGTGACGGTGTTCGTTCCGGGACTCTCTCCGAACCACCGACTCCCGTTCGATCGTCAGGATCCAGTCGACCGGCTTGGACGGTTCGTGCTTTCACTGGCAAGACCTACTCACCCTAGGCCCTATGTGTGCGTGACTGTCACTAGCGCAGCCATGTGCTTGTGTGCGGTCTCACGGGCGACCATTAGCTTGATGATTCTGAGCTACAGGAGATGAGGGACAATGGTGAAACTGTCCAGGACTCCAGGACTTAAAGAAACTGTCCATTTCAGCTCTCGAGGTTTCGGCCAAAGACTTTTGACTGAGAAGGGTCGCTTGGATGATGACGAGGCTTTAATGGCATGGCCTGAGTTGCAGCTGGTCTTTTTTGAACTATTGTCCCTGTGAGTGTTTGGATGAGTTGAACCGCGAACAGCACAGTGAACTTGAGAGTATGCTTCAAAAGCCACAAGATCCCAAAATGCGCGATTTAGACGGTGTGTAATTCAAACGGCGATTTCTTGGCCGCTTGAAAGTGGTGCGTTTGTTGATTGAAGCTGCAGCCAAGGGAGGCGTGGCTCAACTCCTTCACATTTGGCAGCTCTCAACGAGCAGTTGCAAGCTGTGGAATTGTTGGTTGAGGTTGAAGCCAACAAAGGCGCAGCTCATGGAGATGGATATAGCTCCGTACATTTGGCAGCTCATGGGCTGCTTGGAAGTGATGCAAGTGTTGGTCGAGGCTGGAGCCAGTGAGGATGCAACTGATGAAGATGGTTGTACAGCCCTGTACCTTACATGTGACAGGAGTCATTTGGAAGTTGTAAGATTCTTGGTTGAGACTGAAGCCAATAAAGCAGCACGAAGAGATGGCACAGACCCTTTGGATTCGGCAGCAGTCGGTGGCCACTTGGAAGTCGAGCATGCATTCCCGCATCAATCTAGCTGATGCAAGCAACGGATCTCCGTCAACGAAGCGCCACAGATTGGAACGACGAAACTTCCGGGTTGGATATCGTTTGAATCTTTGAGTTGAAGCATGTTGAACCTCGGTTTTGACTTCGCTGGAGGGTGGACTCTCCATTCACAGCCCGTGTTAATGTCCGCCCCATTCAGGTGAAGATCACCGAGCGTGTGGCGGCGAAGACCCACGAGGCGGCGACGCATTGGGAAGTCGATGACCACGAAAAAACAGCAGCCTGCTGTTGGGTTCACAAAAGAATGATTGTTTTGGAAATCTGGAAATACGAAGCCCCCTTTGAATGACTGGCATGTGTGGCTGTGTGGGTGTCCATTTACTGTATGTGATCTCTTTTGATTTTTCTTGGTCGCCGTGCTCGCCAGGCCATCAAAGACCAGGTGGAGAAAGGGAAATCGAGCCTTGGCCAGACATATCGCAGAGACTTTGTTTGGATGAGTCGTGGCCAAAGCCATATCGTACCTCTGACTATCGTGGGATGAGTTTGGTGGATGGGTTTCGAACCTAGGTGGCGAAACTTGTCTTCATCCAACAGTGCATTGGATGAGTACAGGATTCTGGGTTCCGTGAAAACGGGACTGCAGCAGCGGCAATGACAACGACAACAACAACCCGCAAACACTGAAACAATTGGCTTCCAGGCAGTTTTGACCTCAAGGATCACAATAGCACGGTCCAGTTTTGCAAAGAGTGCTCATATACTGTATATATTGTAATATATTATATATATACTATATATATGCAAACCCAGTTATATATAAGATCCCACGCAACCTTTTCCTCCCTCAGACAAGCAACCATACTATCGCAACAAAAGAACTCGTGAAATGACGGAACCAAACACGTTGGGAATCGTTTCACTGGGAATCGTTTCACCTGTAGTAACAAGAAGCTACTAGGAGTTCTTTGAAGCTACTAGTTACTAGTAGTAGCATCGTTTCATGGATCCCGAATGGACGTCCCCGAACTGCACAAGCTTGCACGGTTCCAGGTCACCAGATTGGTTTGGCAATTCCCGACGCATGGTATGAATGATCTGAGGAAGAAGAAAGGCAAGAAGAAGTGAGCTTCTGGAAAGGACCGAAAACCAGCAGCCAGGCAATGTTGTTGCCATCCTCCTCTCCTTTTCCTGATCATCGTCATTTGTCAAACCTGATATCCCCAAAGGTTACCATAGCAACAATCGAATTCAACAGATCGCTGGAGGGCATGAATTGTAGCTTTGATCACACTGGTGTGACAGTTTATCTACATGGCGATTGGCGATTGGAAGGTTTCATCAGGGCTGTTGGGACTTACAGTAGGAAGTGATTAGGCATTTGTATGCATTTGGGTGATCCCAAGTGATACCATCAGAGATTTGCTTCGGAATTAGGAAATGATAATCTGTGGCTCCAGCTTGGTATCACCCAGTTGGTCGACTTACAAACTCAGAACTTAGAACACAGTAACAGTAAATGTGTTAAGAGTTTGATGCCAAAAGACAGGCGCAGACCTGTTGGACCCTTGCAATGCCAAATAATATTGGAGCAGGAGATACGGCGGCTTCGGAGGCAGGAGATGCGCCTGTCAAGGCCAAAACTTATGGAACATGCCCCTCTCCCGGCTTTTCGAGGGTAGCAAGTTAGCAAGATACCCATTTCTGAGCCAGGTCATGCATGGTTCTAAAGCAAATCGAACTTGCGGACCTTGCCAAGTCGTCTTGAGGTGTCTTGTCAAAACGACATAGCACACGCAGACATGTACAGACTGCTGATTTGCCAAATCTAATCCATCTCAGCTAAGACCAGAGATTCCTTTGCGATAGTTGACTGGCTGTGTAGGTGACATGAACGCCACAACAACCAGAATCAATTTGAGAGAATTCAATTGGTAAATTCCAAGTGGGGGTTGTTCTTTACCAATTTTTCTACTCTGGATAGCTATTTTTGTCAGCTTTACTTGATCACCAAACACATCCCTATAGCCAAATCAGCCTTGGCAAAAATCAGGCTCGGAATGGCAGTGTCACCACTAGGAATGGACGTTTCACTCATGCACGATGAAAGTTGAGCGATAACGAGCTTTATCGCGTGTTGGGTGAAGAACACACTTTCGAGTACTGGACCCATGCCAGACTCCTGTATCAGAGATGTTCTGGTGGCAAACAGTGTCCAACTATGCTGAAAGAATTGCGTTTTTGCACTGCTTTCCGCCAGTGTGTTTTCTTTTTCTTAATACTGATTATGCTCCAAATTGTAACTGCCCGAGGTTGACAGAAGGAAATCCTCGAGTACAGTATGCAGCTTGACAATGACCAGCAACTAGCAACATCGCGGGGCATCTCCCAACACCTTTGAGAGTGTTTGCGAGTTTACGGATCCTGAAGTTGAAAAATAGTGAAAAATACATGAAGTTAGCTGACTAGATCAAATTGACGAGTTTGTTCCGATGGCTGAATTGCTTTGCAAACCTGGGAACTCCATCTACGTTGATGTCGTGTGTTCTGTGTTCGGGACTAGGTTTTCAAGATGAGGCATTACCTTCGAACATGGTTAAAAGGGATTAAGCTCTTGGACGTGACACCTAGAAAAGACCATGGCGCCTAAGCAGAGAGATGCCTCGCCTGCAGCACGGGTGCCGCCGGTGCCGGGGAAGGCGTTTACGCAACAAGGGATCAACATTTGTCGATGCTCAGTAGGTGAAGTCTAAGAGGATACTGTAAATGTACGTACAGTAGATGTCCCTAAGTCATGGTCCTTTGAAAACGCATTCCACTGTTGAACGTTTGTGGTGTGGCGGGTGTGGCAGGCTGTTGATATGTTCAAGGTTTGTATCTCCTGTGCCCACCTGTTGGCGAGAGCTGGGTGTTTCTCCTTTGTTTCAGCTTAGTGTTAGAAGCAGAATTGCATGCTGGGCCGGGTAAGTGGGTAACTTAAAGCTTAAGAAGCTTACATGCCTGAGGATGGGTTTTACTTTTTCCTCATGGAACAGTCAAGAGTCAGGTAGATCGAGCCAGCAGACTGAACTCCTTGACACCAACCCTTTGCAACAGGCCCAAAAGGTTTGTGCGAGAGGGCAGAGGGTATTATCCATGCACAGAAAAAGCCATCGCTAGTAGGTTGGAGGCCATTACTACCAGTAACAAGAAGCTACTAGTAGCATTCTGTAAAAACAGCATTTTCTTCATTTGCCAGGCCTCGCAGTGCACGGCTTCGCCCAAGGAGCCGCCGCCTCCGGCCAAGGCGGCACCTCCGTCCGAGCCTCAGAGGAGGTCGGTTTGGCGGCCACACTGGACACTGACAAGATGTTTCAACAAAAAAGAGGGTCCCAAGCCAAACCAATCCATGGTGCTGACAAGCAAGGTCCAAACATGGACGCACTGCATATGACTGCTGCGTTTCTGGGAGTAAGAACAGAGGAATATCCATCGGGAGGCTGAAATTGTGGGAAGCCTTAATCAATTCTTTGAGACTTTTAATTCTATTTCTAGTAGTAAGAATGCTCCTAGTAGCGATGCCAGGAGCCCCTAGTAGCTTCTTGCTCCTAGTAGCGATGCCCTGTGCTCCTAGTGGCGTCTTTGCTCCTACAAAATGTGGGGTTTCTCAAACCTCCTTTGGACGATGTCCCAGGACCTTCAAGCGCCAAACCTCGATCTACGCGCTCACGCCGGACCGCCGTTGGCTGCGGCCCAGCTGGGCCTTCCCATTGTGCCCCGGAGCTTTGGGGTCAAAGTGCTGCAGACGTAGTGGTCAATTTCGCTGCCAACCTGGTGAACATTGACACCTTGATCAAGAACGCAGGAAGTGGGATGACATGATGTCTCTTGGTGCCATGTGGTCCTTCCAGTGATTAGGAACTTCCTTGGTAATTGTGCCCGGAGTATTGGACTTCGCCACCTGATCGTGGGGTTGCATTTCGGAGAAATCTATCCACTCGCTTGATATCATCCATTCTTTTAATGGTGAGCATGGACGTCCTCCCACCAGGAACAAGCGGTATTTGTCGCAGCGACACAGCTGCAACCTGAAGAAAAGCACCTCACCTGTCGTCGCGAATGCACCAACTCATCCAGACTCGCAACCCTGTGCCGTTTTCATGTTGGCACATGGAGTAGCATGTGGAACCATTGAGTCAAAACCAAAATCAGGTACGCCGCCGCACTTGGACTTACACTGCTCTTGTGCTTTGTTTGGCAGCCGTCCTATGAGTTGCTCCGCTTGCAGTACACCTTCGTGCCAAGGCTGATACAAAAGGACCGGGTTGGCCGGGGTGGGAGGTGCCTTGACGAACACAAGGATAAAGTAAGCATACGCAGCAATTGATGACGCTGTTGTGGCCAACTGCTAGCAGGTTTTGGTTTCTTTGAGATAGGTTCTCCTGCCTCCCGCAATCTTGACCTGCGGAATCCCATCGAAACGACCAACAAGCCCAGTACTGATTTGTTGCATGGCCTCGAGCTACTTGGCCACAGCATATTCACCAGGAATCCCACGTGCCTGCACTCTCTTGACCTAGGTGGGCGTTGGGCTGCTGCTCTACAGAGTGTGGCCCAGCAGAATGGGTTTCTGATGGTTTCTGGCTAGATTTGGGTCGTATGGAACGTGCGCCCTCGTTGGTGCCAGGAATCTGAAGGCCCAACGGATCCATTGGCCAGGAGTAATGTTCGCTACTAGGAGCAAAGGGCATCGCTACTAGGAGCAAGGGCCTTACTGCTAGGAACAAGAAGCTAGTAGAAACAATAAGTAAATTGAATTTAATTAGAATTAAGTGTAATTAGAATTGGTACCCTTATCTACGGTAGCTGGCGTCAACACATCACTAAACCTTCAAGGGCGAACGCTCAGGTATTACTACGCTCACAAGGAAAGGATCTTGTATTTCATTGACCTTTGCTTCGTGAGCAGCATTTTTCTGCGTCTTTGGCTCAAAATGGCGCTGTGTGTGTCACATGGTGGGCTATGGACAAATCTCTACCATTCAAGATGGGTGGGGATCCGGACATATAGGTTTGCCAAAAAATATTAAGGCACCCCACCATTGGGTATCAATGTTCATTCATGTTGGAAGGTTTCTGTGCTTGAGGCACACGCATGCGGTCATTCTAAATGTCTCATAATTGGTGTTCGATCTCTTTGCAAAGTCCCGCTGGACAAAACCCAGCCCCAATTGAATCGATGGAATCTGGAGGGTTCTTGTTGGGTCCCCACTGGGCTGGTCTGGAAGGAGGATGGGAAGGGGTGGCATGTATTCGTGGGGGTGCTGATTTGTGATGGTTCGCATCACTCCATCATGCATAGATTAATAGATGTCTCAGAAACAGGATTCCCAACTTCTGGGGTTCATCTGTCGAGCGACGTTCATTTGCCCTGCTTCTTCAAAAAAGGACCCCCGCCACTCCTCGCCCGTTCCCGAGGATTTGGAGCCTTTGGTTTTGCACCGACGGTCGATGTTCCCAGGACCCTCGCCCGTGTGGGTAGCGGGCGTCGTGGCTGCGCTGCGCTGGGGCGTCTCGTGCGTAGAGCGCAGCGCCAGCGCCAGCACAGGAGTGGCTTTGGGCGGTCTATCTCGTTGCGCAGGGCCCAGTGGCTGGAGCCACCTTCCCATTGCAGACACCCTTGACACTTCATCATCCGGAGGCCCCGGGATCAGCAGATCAGACAACCCAGCGGCCATAAGTCGACTTATAATGATCTCTGGCAGCGGTAACCCACAGTGCAGCGGGGAAGACCGGGAAGGGAGAAGTTTTAAGTGCAACATCACTCTGGCATTTCACCATTTAACTGTTGCAGTTTGTTCGATTTGTTTAAGGTGTAAGAGGCACCGAGTGTTTCACACGCCATCAATACATGGTACTGCCATGTACTCGTACCACATGGTAGCACATGTCACCAAAGGCCTTGAAACACTGACCAGGCCTTTGAGAGCTTTTTCTTACATGCCTCTCCAATGTGGATCTCATACGCTGTGCGCTGGCGCTGGGCTGGCTTTGAGACGATTCCCAGCGTGGGCCAGCGCCACGGCTAAAAACGTCCTTCTGGAAGAGTTTCCCTGCACCGTAGGCGGAATGTGTGCTCCTATCTTTTGGCGGCTGACTGGGGTGGTTACTGTATATAAGTTCTTTCCACACATCCACACTTCTACTACTGTACTGCTTATATAGCTAGTCTGGGGAAATTCTATCCACATTGCCCATTGCCCCATGTTTCCTTTCTTGGGACTCTCAGATCAATCTTGCGTTTTTGTGCATTTCAATGTGCCTGTCTCATAGTGGGTAAGATTGTCTTGCGTGTCATGCTTTTCAATATCAGCATTGCATTTGCTACCACTACAAGGAAGGTATCCATTCAGAATGTGCTTGGAGCTGTAGGCTTGTAGCGGCTGCCTTTTGGAAGATCTTCTTTCCTTGGTTCATCGCGCCTCTCGGTGTTTGTGATGGACTGAGAGTGCATTGTTGTCTTCTCAACAGGTTCTAGCGCAATACCTAGTGACGGATGCTTGTTTCTTCACAGAAGAGGATGCATCAAGACAGCCTGAAAAACAGACTTGATGAATCCATTTGAATCACAGTCCTAGGACCACTGGCCTTTTCTTATTTTCATCTCCAGGCATGCCCTCTGAGGTATTTGATTTTCCTGCTTGTGCAGCCATTCTTACCAGATAAAATCGCTGGATATGAGACGTTGGTGGATGGTTTGATCCTTCCTTCACTAACAACTGAGCAGCGGCTGAATGCGAAGCGGCAGAAGTACTCCTCCTACGCAAAGGGAGTGTTGATGGCCACCAGTTTACATGCAGTCCTCTCCAGCAGACACCATTTGCATAGCAGACGTTTCTTTTAAGTCTAGATGCCCCAAACGTCAAGAAACCATGATTTGACCCGGAAGACACATGAAGACAATCTGCTCATTTGTGCTCCAAGGATTGCAGATAATATGTGTGTTTTGTTTTCTGCGTGCAAGTGCATGGGTTTCCGGATGGCTCTCTCAATCCAAAAGCTCCTGAAATTTGATGATGACATCCAACATGAGGAAGCCGCTGATCGCTTCCAGTTCTATTTCTTCATATTTTTTGTGAACCACCCGTTTTGTGCGTTGTGGACCACTAAGGTTCTGGATTTCTGGCAGCTGCACTGGCCTTTCAATATCATGAAGTTCAAATTGTTTGGATCCTTTGTGTCTTCATGGGTTGCCTCATCTCAGGCTCTGGGACCAATACGTGATTCAGGTGTAGCAACGAAGCGTGTCCATACAAAAAAGACATATGAGTTTGCATGAGTTTGCAATGGCTAAGAGAACTCTGGTTCTTCTCAAGCTATATACATGGTTTTGGCATCAAGTTGCCACACGTTCAAACACTTATATGTACAGGTGCCGGTCAAGAGCTCCTGGGGTTCTTCTGAACCAGTTGATCAGCTGCTGCTAGTCAGTACTTGTAGAATCATTGGCTGGCTGCCTGCGTGCATCCTGCTGCGTACCTTATTTGCCAAAGGTGAAGTCGGAACGGAGTGGCTGCAGATATCACTTGCCTTGCTGTGCCAGTCTTGCCACCCTCAGATTTGGGCCTCTGGAATGAGGGCAACGGGCCAATAGCAGCTAGCGGGGTCTTGACCCGATTCACACTGCTAAGCATAGATTGTGGACGCGGAATCTGACGCCTGAAGCGGTGCGGCCAAAACGTTGCTTCTGTAAGAGTCTAAAAGCACTTGTTGCTACTAGCTTCTTGTTACTACTAGTAAGGCACTTGTTACTACTAGCGTGGCACTTGTTCCTAGTAGCTTCTTGTTACTACTAGTAAGGCAC